TACCATTCAATAAGACAATGGCTGATTTGGTTGTGGTCTCAACCACACATTCGCATCTTCCCTAGTCTCTCTCATCTATCAAAAATTTATCTGTCTGCCTTGAATAAACTCAATGACACAGACACTATTTTCTAGGGTTGAGAATTTCATAAACTAACAGAGCTCGGAGGAAAGAAATCTTACTTCCAGTTTTAAAAGAACAATCTCTCTTTTATTCTTTAACAGTCGCCCCTAGTTCTAGTTCTCCCCACAGGGGGAAAACATTCTCCCAGTATCCAGCCGATCATCAAGTCCCCTCAAGAGCTCACGTGTTTCAGTAAAGTCACAACTTATTTTTCTAACCTCCAATTAGGTACAGATCCAGCATGTACAACCTTTTCCTCACAAGATATCCCCTTCATCCATGAATCAGTTAACAACTCCGAGAGCAACTTCACTTAACCACTTATCTGCTCTTCATCTGAAACTGCTGTACCATATTTAAATAAATACATTAGTCTCACTATTACTTTAACAACAAATTCTGGACCAATCATCATTAGATTTGAGGTAGCTGCACACAAGTTTAAATCAACACAATTAGAATTTATGCATAATAAAAACCGAAAGAGCTGCAGACGCTGTAAATCAGGAACAAAAACAGAAGTTGTTGGAAAAGCTCAGCAGGTCTGGCAGCATCTGTGAAGAAAAAAAATCAGAGTTAACGTTTCGGGTCTGGTGACCCTTCCTCAGAATTTATGCATTTTGACCTCAAAGCAAAGTACAAACATTTAAAAGCATTTTATTTGCAGTGAAGTTGTGGCTTTGAAAGCAACGGAAATGCATTCTCCCCTTTGACTTAAATTGCACTGCCATACAGCTATCACTAGCCTCTCCTTTTACATTTCACTGTAGAAAAAAAAAAAGAGAACAAATATCAAACTGCAATAATGAACCAAAGTTATACAAGGATAACTCAGAAGTAACTCATGGCTTTTGAATCATACAGCATTATGATAGATACTAGAACTGAAATTTCAAATGCATGGAAAGTAATTTGAGCGCAGAATTATTCCTACCTCTTTCAATTGTTGAGAGCAAGAAGAGCTCGATTCAAATTTAACCTAATGCACACCTAATCCAGTAAGCAATAAGGCGAACATTCAGGGGTAAAATAAGAAGTCAGGATAAACTAACACTCGCTGCTCAAGCAAGCTGTCAGTCTTTGTTATAACTCTCGATTATGCACGGTAGAAGTGTAATTTCAAGGCAAGTTTGAATTTCAGACATTATCATTGCTTGGGACATGATCTTGTACGAAATGAGTGATTTCATTTAAAATTTATTACAGCCTGTAACGTAGACCCATTATACAAAGGAGAAGAAAGTGTGGGAGAATGGATTCCAAATGCCAACATGATCAATGCATATGCAAGTTTTTAACCCTCATCTGAATTAATACCAAAACCTGTCCTGCTCTCTCTCATTCTTGTTGGGAAAATGGAAATTTAAATTTGAATGAGCCAAACATGTACACATACACCAAACAAGGATACTTCACATTCAGTGGAAACAGAAATGTTTGATGGGGTAGGTAAAAGTTACGAACAGTTTCATGCTGTGTTTTAAAAAAAGTTTTCAGATTTTAATTATTTAAACAACAGCTACACAGTTGGCCACATTTGCAGAAAAAGCAGGCGTAAATTCGGCCATTGGCAGTAATACAGAACTGCCAAGAGTGAGCCTACAGCCAGTTTTATACATCACTAGATCCTTCTTTCAACTAATTTCAATGGAAAACAGACTGCTGATACTCTGAATTGCGACAGACCAATTTCATTCTCATCATACTTAAAACAAGATGACCATGTAGTTACTTGAAAACTTGAGGATTTTATGATTGGATCAACCGCAGTATGTTCAGACTAGAGTTCAATATGGTTAATGAGTGACTAGCTGCGACAGAAATTAACAAACTTCTGGGATGTAGATTGCAGGACTAAATATTTTTGAAGCAGGACATCTCAATGCAAATTACCATCAAATGAATTAGTTTTGAAATGAACTCAGCATTCTACAAGCAAACAGCACACCATTTTGCACACATTAAGGTGCCATTAAAAAGTCAATCAAAATTAAACAAAGAGCAGTTAATCTATTTTTGCTGGCACTGGCTGAGGCAAGAATGTTCATCAGGACGTAATAACTTTGTACTCTTCAAATTTTGCCATGGTGTCTTTTATAGAGACTTTGGTTGAATATCTCATCAGAAAGGTGATTATTTTTAATAACGTGGTACTTAATATGGCAGTCGTATTCTTATTTATGAATACTAAAAGCAGTAAAAAACCTAGGTCAGAATCTATCAGAGCTTTTTTTCCAGTCATCATCTCTTTCTATACTTAACTGGAGAAACAATTTTCAGTGTAGTTAGGCAATTTGTTATAACTTCCACCATTCCAATGGAGTCTCACGTATGAAATATTGTCAACTATCATACAAGGCCTTCCTTATCCAAATCAAATTATCTCCATAGAGGATTTCTGCAGATTTGTAAAATATGGTCAATAACTTTTAAAGTCCATATTAATTTTACTCGAGGCATTTTCAAAAATGACCAGCAGAGAAACAAGTCTAAAATATGGGCAAGACCCTCAAACACTCACCTAATTGAATTATGTTTGCAATAAAATGCGTCCGGTGGTGTTCTAACAAATAACATTCTGCCTTTAACTTTCTAAGATAGGAAACATAACCTAAGTTAAAACATCTGTAAAGAGCGACCAAATTTCCACCCTGCAACAGTTTTGTCAGTATCAGCTTTACTGTTGTTCTGAATTTTCAGTTTGCATTTCTCACAGGTGACTTTGAATTGACTTCAATTTTGTTTTTCATTGCCTTTTCTTGTCTCTCCTGCATCTACAGTCTCTACAGAGCAGCAATTGTATTTCCACAATTTCCTTTTATCCTTGTGTTTGAAGTATGATGTATTACAGTGACTTTGTATTTCGTAAAATTATGCTACACTGGTGCCCTGACTAGGTTATGTAAAGGGCTTTACAAAATAGTTACAACTCTGTTTCCTGTACAATAATGGTGCTCAATGAAAGGATGAGAATGGTACACAGGTTTTGTAAATTGGTTAACAAACAGCTTTTCTGGCTTTTAACTGCTCTATAAATACCAAGAAATGTATCTAAAGCTTAGAAAGTGATTGACATTGTAGAACACTTTCTACCCTACTCCCTATTTACATTTTACTTCAGGTGACACCTTTAAAAGGTTTACACAATTGATATAGCATTCAGTAAACAATAAAAGTTTGACAAACATTTCCAAACTTGATTTCTACTATCAACAACACTTCTGGGTGTAATGCATTTTCCTTTGCAAAGGCAAGCATCTAACTCAACAACAGAAGAAATTTAAATAAGACAAATATGATTTTAATTAAAAAAGGGGCTAATTTCCTGTATATTTGCACCCGTTCTTCATAAAATTCAAGCTACCTAAACATTATGAATACTATTAAAAAAGCAACATTTTCTCTTCAAATGCATGCCAAACTACTCATCTCAAATTTCTAAAAAGAGGTTTCCGCAATTTACATTGTTAGCTATCCAAGTTGAACTCAAAAGTTATTTTAAAATATAATGTTAAAACTGCATAATAGCATGCAAAATCCATTCTTATTTCAGAACGCCTAGCCCTTTTTCCAGCTTCAGACAACTCAAATAATCTGATAAACACATGTTGCATTGAACTACACTTTGCTGAGAGGGAAAAATGCATATAACCAAGTAGATATGATGTACCTAATTATAAAATTCAAAATGACAACAGAAAATGTTGGAAACACTCAGTAGGTCTGGCAGCATCTGTGGGAGAAACAGTCAATGTTAACTGGTTGGATTGCAGCTATCTGAATACAAGTAAAGGAATCAAGAGAGAAATGATGGAGGAAAGAACCACCAGAAACAGGAACAAAAAAAAAAGGCAGTGTTAATGATCTAAAATTGTTAGTGTTCAGCAAATGCTTATAACCATTCACATATTTTGTTTCTTTACCTTTTACAGCATAAATTTTGTTCAATTTATTTTCTCACAGGCCTGAACTTTCAATTGCCGAAAACTTTACATTTAATTTTCAAGAATGACAATACATAGAAAACAAACAAACCCTGAAGTTCAGCATGAGATTGATTTCTGCTTTATCCAGTTAGTTTCGGAGGTCTAAATTTCCTGTTCTGATGAGAGGTCATGTAACTGAAACTGCAACTCTCTTTCTCTCTCCACAGATGCTGTCCTGACCAGAGTACTTCCAAAATTTTCTGCTCTCATTCCAAATTTTCCACATTGGCAGTATTTTTGCCATTGTGTTGTAAAATGTCAAACATGGGAATACAAAGGTCAGTCTTCTGTTCAAACAAAAAACCCAAAGGAATGTGGATGGTGGTAACCAGAAACAGAAATTGCTGGGAAAACTCAGCAGCATCTGTGGAGAGAAAGCTGACTGACCCTTCTTCAGAACTGTTTGCAGCTGCGAAAAGGCTGGTATATATAATGAGGATGGGTGTGGGGACAGAGGAGGAGTAAATGATAAGTAGAGAAGCAGCCCAGACAGAGAGGGAACAACAATTGGGCAGACAAAGGAATGAGTAACATTAGCCTGAGGGAATCAATAGCTGCTAATTTGGGACAATTAGTAGCCACCAATGCAATGGTTGTGGTTGCAGCCCATGTGATGACAAGGCCTGGTATATGGGATAAAAACCAGTATATGGGAGTCGGGGTAAAGACATGGGAGAAGCTGCAGCTCCGCAGCAAGCCGGAGATGGAGATAGTGACCAGGGAACACTGTGGCGTGTTGAAATGGCAGGCAACAGGAAACTCAAGGTCATTAGCGTGGAAAGCAATTTGTTTGGTTTCAGACTTTTGTTGCTTGTAAACCAAGGTGATTAGTTAATTTTCAGACACCCTTGAATAAAACAAGGTAAATTTAGTTAGGTCAACACTCTCACCCGTCATTCCAGTTTTCATTCGCTGCTTCTTCAGCCACCAGATTTTCATATTCTTGTAAAGCGTACCTCTCCCAGTCAGTCATTTCTGGCCCATCATTTTCCACATCCTGCTGCAGAGGAAAAAACAAAATCATAGGGGCACCACAAATGTATACAATTTGCTTAAATACATCATATATTCAACAACTCAAAGCAGGGCATGAAAATTTCAGTTCTTGCAAAGTTACTCAGTATGATGGACACTTGCACTTGGGCATCTTAAGGCGTAATTGGAAACACTCTGATCTAGGAAAACCAGTCTGTAGTAAGTGTTAGTTGGGAAACTGGAAATTCTGCTTTCATCTGTTTGAGCCATCCGCTATCAAAATAAAAATTTGTACCTAGCTTGGATTTAAAATGTTTTCTTCATTTTGTCTAGTGACTTGTATGAATATTTTGTAAATCTTGTAAGCAACTTTCAAGAATAACAACACAGAAAACATATGAACCCTAAAAGTTCAACATGAGGTTGATCTTCCCTTTATTCACTTAGTTTGAGGTCTAAAATAACTTCAGCACAACCTGATGAAAAAGAAATGGAAGGAATTCAGTTTTTAAAAGACAATGGCTTGAAGTTGGTTCTTGGTAACACATAATACATCATCCTAAAGAGTATAAGCACGAGTCTGACCATTAGCATGGGATAAAATGCCCATTAGACCAACGATGGGTATGAGGTAGCAGCAATGCACAGCAACTCTCACATTCCTCAGAGTTGGAATTTTCCTCAATAACGGATAGGACCAATGCGATATGGGATCCTTCTGAAAATAAATTGTCTATGCTCACAAAATAGGAGCTTATGTAGAAAGCCACGGAAGGCTCCATAGTCAGTCCAGCATGTAGGCTGATAAAGAACTCTCCAGTCTAATTGCACTTTCCACCTCTTAAGACTTAAACTGCACATCCAAATATTTTTCCCAAATACAGTTAGAGACAGACTCTAACACCTTTCCATTCTTTCATATATTTTTTCAGATTGGTCCAGCGACAACAATCAGAAATCACAGAGTACAAGTTAACCCCCTTTCCGACTATGATATGTTTTATACACAAGTGAATTTTCACTCCACAAATGCACGTTTTACTTATTGCTCCCTTATGACTGAATGCAACAATAAGCAGGCAATACAGGCTGTATTGTGAAGTTGTCCACTCTTTGCAATTCTTAAATGTCATCAGCATTTGACGCAACCAGCCATAACAGTTCTGTTTTATACTTGGCATACGTTAACTCATTTTTTGGAAGGATTTTGAGGCTTCAAAAGTTGACTCATACATTAAAACCTACAGTAATTCAGAACCTCAGATATTTGACTAGCAAAGTTTACTCAGAGCCAACAAGTCATCAACACAAAAAAACTTCATGAACTTGAGCCAAAAAGGTGTGGTAACTCCTGCCATTTGCAGCAGCTGGGCAACAAACTCCCTAGGCTCAGAATTAATACTTATACCATCACTTCACAGCCCTTAATAAATTGTAAGATTAAACTGTCAGCAGGGAGGATGAGCAGATGGTTAAAAACAGCCTAATGCAGTGTTTCAAGGCCACCTCAGAGCAGACCGGCTTAAGCTCTTACACATACAGAAGTCAACAGTACCCTGCTGGCAGTGAAGTCAAACAAAGTAGCAGGAGTTGATGAAGTTTACCCAGTATTTCTGAAGAATGTCAAATTACAGGGAAGTGGTTCGCATAGCTGTTCATTCACATTCAAGCACAAGCACCATTCCAAAGACATGGTGCCAATCTAAGACTGTTACCATTATCTAGCCAGGAAAGCCAATTGACGACCTGAGCAGCTACTGCCCCATCACCTTGCTCTCAAAAAAACAAAGCTCTGAAACACTTCCTGCTAAATAGACTAAATCTTACCCTGAAGACAGCAATGTCTACAATAGCGGTTTTTCACACCGCAACTGTTCCAAGTAGGTCCTGACATCAACCTCATATTATGGTAGGTTACCAGAAAGGTCAGAAGACAGGAACTGCCTTTGTTGACTTATCCTGTGCTTACGACAGTGTACTTGGATACAGGGCAGACTATTTAGGACCAAAATGAGGAGAAATTTCTTCACCGAGAGTGGCGAGCCTGTGGAATTCCCTGCCACAAAAAGTGGTTGAGGCCAAAATATTGAACGTTTTCATGGAGTTAGATATAGTTCTTAGGGCTAAAAGTATCAAAAAAGGGCATGGTGAGAAAGTGGGAACAGGGTACAAAAATGGACGATCAGCCATGGTTACACTGAATGGAGGAACAGGCTCAAAAGGGTCAAGTGGCCAGTTCCTGCTCTTATTTGACATGTTTCTATATTTCTAAGGTTCACCTCAAGAGATCTATTCCTGGTGGTATCACAACTATTAATGTTGCATCAGCTGAAGCAGTTGAATGGATTATTAACCTCAACATCAAACCATAATTGCTTCCTCAGCCACATGAATTTAAGAAAAACATAACCAATTCAACTTCGTACTAGTTGATCTGCATCATCACCAATTGTGCAATGCTATTACAACAACTATCTAAGGCTGGGAGTGCATGGTTACAACCTGGTGCTGGTACAGGGAACAGTCAAAGAGATGAATGTTAGTATTGCCAATTTCATCCACTCATCTGGTATTATCGTGTGACTGCAAACATTTTTCCTATTGCACTGTAAGTGTACCCAACACCCAGCCCCCAACATGACTAATGTTTTGAGGTAGCAGCTTATTACCACTTTTTCAAAGGCAATTGGGATGCGCAATAAATGCTGGCCTAACCAACAATGCCCAGTGAAAGAATGCAAAAATAAAATCTCCAACTGGTGCCACTGCCAGATAGTGAGATTCTGTCGTGGTTAGTGCTAAAGAAGACAGTGTAGAAAACGCTTATAATTACGATAACATATCTTGCTAGACGAGGTAGAAACTCTACCCTAAGGGAGATGGTTACAGAACTTGATATACACAATTTAGAGAAAAAGGCATTGTATCATAAATATAACAATTACCCTTGGAATAGAAAATGGGTCCTTCTGCTCATGTTCCAGATACTTGCTGATGTTAAAAAGGGTGTCAAAAAATACATTTGCCATCTTGCACTTCTTTAAGTCATGAAGTGTTATTTTTCCTGTGTAAACAAATTGGCAGTAAATTTCATAGAAACGAAGAAACCATTCTAACAGTTCAAATTAGACATATGTTAGTTTATACTCTGTAGACTGCTTAGAGCTTATCCAGTAACGGTCAGATGGGGACAGTATTAATGCTGTTGGAATGCGCTGTTAATTGATTCTCAATAGTACATCAGTTGGCATATTACAGTCAGAGTTACATGGACTGGATCTACTGACCCCAATTAAAAGTACACACAAGTGTCAAGAGAGGTCAATGTCAAGATAGCTGAGACTCCCTCTTAATTAAATAGAAATGGGTAGCAACTAGCAAGTAAAATACTTATGGAAACAGACTTCTTTTTGGATCACCTGTACAGTAAATCTTGAAGATTGCTGAAAGGACACAATTTTGTCAAAGCGTTTTGCCTGGCAATTAATCAGGACAATTCAAAAGCAAAGGGAGTGTGGATTGGTACAGACATTACCCTGGCAAATGCACCAGCTAATGACAATTGAGAGTTAGCTGTCAAGCCTTGTTTAAATTTTTATACCAGACAAGGTGACATTGATTTCTCAGGGCAATGCCTTGACCAATTAAGATTATCTATTTTTGTTGTGTTCAAACCAGTGCAGTGTGTGTATATATATTCTTTCCACCTGCAAATAACAAGGGCTTTTTGTATTACCAAATGTATACTTCAGTATATGCAAGTGTGCCACACCGAGCCCAACTCAAACCTATATTGGTTATCAGCACAATTCTTTGCATACTCCGGATTATTTAACTAATTGTGAAATCACAACTAATGTTGTACATGTATTTTGCACATGTGGACTGGTTGTGCACAGCCAGCACACTGCCTGTATGTTGTTCGATACCAGTCAGTCTTTGGGATATATGGCCAATGCCACACCGACACTGAAATTCATACGAGATTACTAACTTGTGTTAGACAGAATGTCTTTTTGGCAACATCCTGTAGTGGTGAACACCACACACATTGCTACTGCATAGTAACAGCGTCAAACAACTAGATTCACCTGCTGCTAAACATTGGAGATCTCTTACACTCCCAGGGTAATACGAGGTAGAATGGATGCCTTACAAGAGCAAAATTGATGGCTAAGTCCACAACACACAGTGAGAAATGATTTATTATCCTGCTGTAACTGTTATCCTGTGGGATGGCTTTGATATGCCTTATTTCTGCCCAAGCTTTCTCAACGAGAAAATGGCTGAGTGGTCTCTACGAGGTTGCCAATAAGGCCAATCTCCTAACATGTGAAACTGTACGATTCCATCATGCATATCAAATAGTAAAAGTAGGCTTGTGATAGATAGCAGTAGAGACCCATGTGGCTGATTTTTCAAATTGTATATCAAGAAACGGGGAGGTAATTTAACTGCCCCATTTCAGTCGAATTTGAGCCCATCAAGGGATACATGAAAATTCCTGCATGCAGCTCGAATCAAATACAGCAAACATATCATTTACAGATCTGAAAGGTGTGAGGGGCAGGTGGTTAGTTTATCCCAAAGACGCGTTTCTCATGGTCCTCAAAAAAAAGAAGGAATTCTTCAGTGTATGTAGAAAATGTGCTCAAAGTTGGGTGCGGCAATTCACTCAGCCTTTTAGTAATCTCATGTCATAGACACTGGTAGTAGATCGTATAGTGTAAAGGGACATGACTGTTAAACTGCCAAGCTAAGTCATCATGATCATTCTCCATGACAATGCCTCTACTGATAAGTCTACTTGTCAAAATTTCCCTCATACACTGTAAATGTTATTGTTCCCTTTAGTTTTTATTATGAATTCTTCTGATGAGTACAAGGTGAAACTTTTGGGGAAAAACATGTTGCTGAAAAGACATTCAAGTTTTTTTTTGTTAATTTAAACCAACACCCAGTTTCAGACAAATCTTGCTAGGTCAGCTGATTTTACTAATTCTCTGCTTTTATGTTGATGATGAAACATCCACTAATTTTATGCTATTGCTTATTACTGTAGTGAAAATTTATTCAAATATCAGCAATATTAAATCTAAAAAAGCTATTCATAATTGCCATTATTTAAACTAGCAGCAATCAAGCAGAGGAAACTGCTGATTTTGTTAATAGCACCCTTATTTCAGCCTGGCTGAGATCACTAGAAATTGCATTAGAGTGGAGAAAGTTCTACATTTTGCTTAACTATTTAAAACATAAGCTCTAATCACTTGATGTTGACAGCGGCTGAAAGATACCATGCAGCAATTATCTTGTGAATTGATGGA